TGTCGGGGCTGGGCCGTACCACTGCGGGAGGGGGGGGCGTGCCGAGCCGGGCGAAACCATGCGGAGGCGCTGGTAGGGGGACGCGGGGAGGGGGTCTGTCGGGTCCGCCATGGCCGCGAACTGCGCGGGGGCCGCGGGAGCGGTGGCGAGCGCCGGCGCCGCGCTGGGCTCGGCCCTCAGCGCCAGCAAGACCAAGACCAAGAAGAAGCACTTCGTCTGCCAGAAGGTGAAGCTGTTCCGGGCCTCGGAGCCGCTGCTCAGCGTTCTTATGTGGGGGGCGAACCACACGGTGAGAGCTGGCGGCGCGCCCCCGCCCCCCCCCCCCCCCCCCCCCCCCCCCCCCCCCCCCCCCCCCCCCCACCCCACCCCACCCCATCCGGGGGCATCCCATCCCATCCCACCCCCCCAAATCCCCACCCCTCAGAGCCGGGAGCGGGGCCTCGTCCGCCTTACCCCCGGCCCTGGCCCTCAGCGAGTGCCCAAGTCCGCCCGGATCGGACCGTTCTCTCCCCTTCAGGCTGCGCCTTTTCTCTCCCATCCAGAGGAACCTTCCCCCCCGCGCTGAATCCCAGCCTTCCCTCCCGTTCCATCCCATTCCTGATCCAGCCCCGCCCTGGGGGCTGTGGTTCCCTTCTCCCGGGTCTCCCTCCCCAGGCAGTCTGGAGACCCCCCCTAGGTCGGGATGTCCCTCCCAGACAGGTCCCAGTGTCCCCTCACACCCACCACTGACACCTTTTCCAGCACCCTCTTTCCCGGGACTGGGGAGGGGGAGTGATGCTGTTTCGGGTGATGTTGCCGTGGCATAATTTCCCCTCTGGCACTAGGGACATGAATTTCGTACCCACAGCCCTGTTCCTGTCACAGTCCCCGGGTTTCCACACAGGACTGTCCCTCTTCCCTCTGGCCATGCCGATGAGGCATTCCCCTGTATCACAGCCCAAAGGGGACAGTCCTGTGGCTCACTTGGACAATGATGTGTCTCCCATCTCCATCTACCCAAAAAGGGGGGGCTTGGCCCCAGGTTTGTCCCATTTCATTTCAGGCCATGTGTGTCCTCTTGGCCTCAGTTCCTCTGGGAACAGGTTGGGAGAGGGAGGTGGGAGAGGGTCCCTTGAGAATCCCTGTGATGGCTCAGCTCTGATCCATCCACCTCCTTGAGTAATTCCTAAGACAATCCTTATGTTTTCTCTGGAAACTTCTCCCTGGTTTATAATGGTGGTCATGAGGATTAATTCTTGGATGTGGGTGCTGGATTATGTTCTTGGTGGTAAAAGAACCCTGAAGCCTTATCTCTTCCTCAATTAATCCATTTTTAGGGCTCAGACACACCTATTTCTCCCTTGGATTAGAGATTGTTTCCTGGAGAGTGAAAGGGATTGGGGCTTTTTTTTTTTTTTTTTATAAACAAATAACACACCAAGAAAAAAAATCCACCTTGCATTCCTGGCCTGCCTGGCTGGAATGAAAGCTTCCAAATGTGGTCTAGCACCTTCCTGCCTTTGAGGCAAAGGATGTTCCAAGTGCTCCGAGCCTTGCCCAGGAAGCAGAATAATGACTTTAATCAGGCTTTAATCAGTGGTACCATTAGGATCCCTGAAAAAATGGAAATTGTGGGATTTTTCTGGKTTTTGTTCATGGGCTCTTAGGGACAGTTGTTGCTTGCTGGGAATTGACCTGTTTTGGGGATTTTTTTTGGTGTTTTTCTTCATGGTACCTGTCTGGGCAGTAGGAGCCTGGCAGGGATTTGAGGTCCTGGATCAGGAAAATGTAATTTTGGGAGCACTTGGCTGTGAGATATTTGGGCAAAGGGAAGAAGGCGAGCTGACACTAAGTTGGTAATGAGATTATATCAGATGTGTATTAGGAAGAAATTGCTGCCAGGAAGAAGCACCAGGAAAGGGGGTGAGAAAAGTTCAGCTGTGACCTCGTCACCCTTGGAAAGGCATTTAGGATTTCCCAATAAATCCCTCCACGGGATTGGTGAGGGTTTGGTGGCTACTGTGACAGTGTGGGGAGGTGAGGGGGCTCTCTTGTCTCACCAGGAGCAGCTGCTCATCCTGGGCTGTGGCTGGGAGATGATCTTGATGCCCTGCTGATGTGGGAATTGGAATTTCATAGCTCCAGCAGATAGGCTTGGAAATAATTTAGGGAATACCGTTAAGCTTTGTTAGAAATCTTTTGGGGCATTGTTAAATTTGGCATGGGACAAGGAGGGGTGAGTGAGGAGGCTCTCAGCTGTGTCCGTAGAGTTCTGAGATCCTTGCAGTGGGAGGAGGAGAAAACAGCTCTCAGCACAAGCCTGGGGCTGTGCCAGGAAGATCCTGTCAGAATTGCTTGGATCTGGGATGAACTTTTTCACAGACAAATCAAAGGAACAACCAGTTTATGCAATGCACTGAGGAAATCCCCGTGAGTCTGTTCTCCTAGTCTGGCAACAGCCTTAAACAGGCTTGTGAGCAGCTGGGGCACGGATGGCTCTGGAGAGCATCAGAAGCACCCCAAGAACAGGACCTGCTTTCTGGCACACCAGTTTGGAGTGTTTCAATAATGGGTCTTGGCTGTCCTGGTGGTCCCCAGCCAGGGTTGGGATTGGAATTGGGGTGGGGCCGGTGTGAGCAGGGCCAAATGTGGGTGTTATGAGTCAAGCAGCTGAATTTTGGACCAGAAAACCATGGAGTGGAGGGGAAAACTTGTGTGAAAGTAGAGTCACCGAAGCTCAGCCTTGATTTGCAAGTGTTCTGTTAGACTCTGAATCCAGCAGACGTGGAGATGGTTCCTGGGGAAGCTCCTCTTGCCGTTGTCATGGCACTGGGAGAGGAGATGCAGCTCCTGGGTTTTGCTCCAGGTATGTTCTCCTGCCCTGGATGGATCTGTGTGCATGGGATGGGAAAGTTGGGATGGTTCTGGAAGGAATCGGCCATCTCCCACCCAAAGAGATGAACACAGTGTTGTATGATGCTCTGGAAACCATGGAAACAGTTGTAAAGTGCTGCTGATGGAAGGCACTGGGATCCTGGGGAGGTTGGAGAGGTGATTGTGGTTCCGTGTTTGTAGGGCCGTGATAATGCTGCTCCTCCAGGTGCTAGGTCCTCAGCTGGAAAAGATTCCTCTGCCTCTGGCTTCTGGCAGGGGCAGGAGAAAGGCATGAAGAATGCATTTTTATGGGAATGGGGAGATCTGTTGGCTGCATGGGTCTTGCCCCAGGCAGCTCCAGAGGCTCCTGGCTGGAGCAGCAGCCATCTCCCAGGCCCTTCAGGAGCGGTGCCAGCCAGCACAGAGCCCGGCTCGTTAGTATTCCAGGGAAACAGCAATGCTGGGATTTGCAGCACACTGCTCCCTGCTCCGCAGCCTTGGGTTTGGTGTTGCCATGTTCACTGTAGCCAGAGCAGCATCTGCCACATATCAAACGCTCAAAACCCATAAATTGGTGCTGGCACAGTGGGAACAGCCTGCATCGGTCCTTGCCAGCCTCGCTGTTGGCCCCGGCACTAATTGACCTCCTGAGAGAGCAGCATATGGGCCATGGCTATGCCAGCGCCTCCAAATGACCCAGGCCCTGGCTCCCAACCTCCYAAGTTCATCCAGGAGCTCCTGTTCAAATCCATATTCCAGGGGCCCTTTGGCTTTCAGGGCATGGAGAGAAAAGGGTGTTCYTGGGTGGTTCAATGAGGAAAATGGRACTAGTTTCCCTGCTCTGACACTGACTGGTGTGGCCATGGGTTGGTTGTACAACATTACGTTCTTCAGCTTTTTTGGACCAAGGGAAGCATCAGCTCTGCCCATCTGTGAGTGGACTGGGAGCACGGATGCTTCCCAGTGATGCTTTGCTGGTAAGGATGGGTGTCACTGCGTGATCCCTGTGAGAAAGCCAGGAATCCTTTCCAGCAGCATTCCAAGTACTTTTTTCAGGAAGAGGTGGGTTTGCTGTCACCAGGGGATGCTTTTTTCCCCCTCTTAAAGCATCCTGGTGTCCCCAGATGAATTATTGACTACTGGATTCACTCTTCCCTCACATTGCATAGGGGGTTGTTAGCGTGGATACTGATTAATCATGCTCTAATTCATGGAAAACAGGGTTTTTTCCTTAAACCATCACCCAGTTGCTGCTCTGTGCTAAGCAGCAGAGAAGTTTTGCTGCAGCTGTTTGTCTCCACACTGAAGTGCTTTTCCCAAGTGTCTTTTACCTCCTTCCCCAGAGCATAATAAAGTTTAACTAATGCTCACAAAGTGCTTGGAGATGCCTGATTGACAGGCTTTGAGGGGAACAAAGTATCTTTATTTTCCCCATCAAATTCCTGTTGCAAAGAATCCTGGAGAGTGGGGCTAACACTCTGTCAGCTGGATCTTGTTAGTAAACAAATTGCATTTTGCCATCAATTTGCTAATGCTAATTGCCACTTTGAGGCTCCAGTCAGGTTTTTAAACAAATTATGCCTGGCCCGTTCATCCCAACAGCTGTCCCTGAATGACAAGAAATATTGATGTGGCTCTTATTGGAGAAAGGAATTGGCTTTGGTGGTGAAGACAAATCACCAACCCAGAGTGCTGAGGAGTGTTGCTCTGAAGAATTGCAGTGACCCGGAAGTAAAAGCTTGACAGAGAGGGAGGGAGGGCGTGATTTTCCAGCCCTGGAATTGTGTTGGATTGTGTTGCCTGAGGATGAAGGGTCTGGGCAGTGGAAGAGGGTTTTAATCTCTTATTTGCTCTTGGCCCAAGCCCTGATCCTCGCTGGCTTTTCCCTCTGYACCTCTGGTATTGTGGCTGCTTTGATCTGCCTCCCCTCCCTTCTTGCAGGAGTGACTCTGGGCACGTGGGGCTCCCGGGCCTGCTTGGGACTCGCTCCTTTGTTCTTAGGACATGGCAATACCAGCGGAGAAAGGGGAATTCTCTATCTCAGTGCTCCTGATGTTGCCCTGCTGAAGATGTCAGTGGGTTTGTCTGAACTGCGCCTTGAGTTTTAAATCCTGAATGCCTCCTGGMGTCCGAGCTCTTTGTGAGGCTCTGGCAGAGCCGTTCCTGCTGTGGCTGACCTGGGAGGGGCAGGACTGGAGCTTTATCTTTGCAAAATGCAGATGGCAGTGGCAAAAAGCACTTTTTACTGGTGCACTCRGCCTGGACTGGTCCATCTTAGGTGTCTGCTGAGAAAATGCAAAACTCTGGCCAGGAGAGGACTAGGCAAAAACAAGGGCTGTTTTCCAAGGGGATTCAAGGGCTGACCAAGGCTAGAAAGTGAAGTAGATTCAAGGACAGATAAGAGCTAAAAAGTGCAGTAGATTCGAGGGCCGATCAGGGCTAAAATATCAAGTGGATTTGAGGGCAGATCGGGGCTAAAAAGCTGGAAGCCTTACGAGAACCCAGTATCACTGGGTGTGAAGGCAAATCCCTGGGCTGAGTAGCTTGTGTTCCAAATTAGCCTTTTTTTTTCCACTTTGTGGACCGCTAAAGCCTCTGTGGTGGAAGTGTGGCACCACCATGGGCACAGCCTGCTGCACCTGTGCTTTGCATTTGCTGGGATCCCCAGAACAGCCCCTGAGGGCCCAGGTGTGTGGCTGCGGTGCTGCTGCACCTGTGCCCTCTGTCCCTGCCTCCTCCAGAACAAAGAAGCACGTCCAGCATCTCCCTGCCTACCTTGTCCCCGCATCTCCAAAGATCCTGGCACAGGATCCTCCAGCTGGGAGATGCCTCTTTTTGGGAGACAGAGCCCTGGGAGCAGTCTCCCTGGGAGGCAGGGGTTGCTGAGCACCTTCCTGCTGTGCACCTTGCTGTGACCTTGCCTCGCAGAGCATAAATACCCCCGGACACACTCTGCTATATTTAATCTTCTGCTCCACGCCTCTCCCCGGGGAGAAGGCGAGAGAGCAAACATGTGCCAGGCGTTAGTCACGTTGTTGCTCCCTCCCGGAGGCTGCTCAGATTCCCCAGGGATAAGCCTGAGGAGAGAGGATCCCTCTGGAGAGGTGATAGATGCTGCTGGCCTCGGTTTTCCTTTGGGCAAGGGCTCCTCACGTTTCACTTGGCACAATTCCCATGGATTATCCTTAAGGAGGAGGGCTGGATGCTGAAGATTGTACTGTGAGATGGGAGAGTTTGGGATCCCTTTCCCAAGGGATGTGGGGGCTTTTCATTCCTCTCCGTTTGGGAAGGTGTCAAGGATGGGTATTGGTGTGAGAGCACACAATGCCTAAACAACAAAAAAATGTAAAGATTCCAACATAACAACAAAAATAAACTAAACATATCCATGTTTCCTTTCAGACWGGGGTCAGGAGCAGAGGCCCAGTGGCCAGTGCCCCAGACATGCCTCAGGGGAGAGCAGGTGGGCAGTGCTGGGTCTAGAAAGGGCCAAATCCAGATCTTGGTGCCCAGCAGCACAAACCAAATTCTTCTCCCTGTCTCTGGAATTCCAGAGCATTTCAGCAAGCTCTGGTGGAAGGAGGGAAGGGCTTCGGGAGGGTGGATTTTTTGGCTGTTTTATCTTGGGAGGAGTGAGTGCACCTCTGAAACAAGACAAAGGTATCCCGGTGCACCATTTCTGCCACTCAGGARCCTCGCAACAGGTCCTGCTCTCGCTTTGAGGTTTGTGCTGTGGCAGAAACGAGGGCACCCAGAGCTTCCTTGAAACATTTGTGTCTGAACTGCTGCCAGGGAGGAGGCAGCCTCCGAATCGCTGTTCCCTCTCAGCCGTCAGCACTCTTCCTCCGCTCTGCGAGGAGCTGATAATGGCTTGTTTGTGCCTTCCCCACGCCGGGAAGAGGGCTGGGAGMAGGCTGGGATGGGAGCAGGCGTGTGGCAGGAGCTGTGCTGTCGGGCTTCCTCTCCTGGTAGACAGCAGTAAGTAGTGGCTGGAGACAGTGCCTCTGTCTCGGTACGGAATGAGTTGTTTTCTCCTCACCCTGAGGGGGAAACTCCGCGTGGGACTGATTCAGCTCCCTGCAGCGGCTGCGAGCTGGGAGGTCCCTTCCTCACTTCGGGTCCTCTTCCCTTTTCCGTCCCCTCTGGCTCAAGGGGCAGCTTTGGTGTAGGATTGAGCTTTCAGTGCTGGAGGACTGAGCCTTCAACCGAACCCGGGTGTCAGCCTCTCCTCGCTCCGGGATTGCTGCCGGTGGGGGATGTGGGATATTATTCATTCATCCRTGCAGCGTTTTCCATGCATCCCAGACTTTCCGTGGCAGCGCACGATGCTGCTGTGAGGGGAATGCGGGGCAGGGCTTTTGCAGGGCTCCACCTCCGCGGAGCCGCGGCCGGTTTGCTTCCCGCTTATCTGTTGTGTGGGATGGCTGTCTCTGAAAATAGCCATTTTCCTTCCTGGCACCGACGATGTGTCTTTCTCTCCAGTCTGACGTGTGTTAAATCTGAGTTTTCGTGGCAATGATGGAGAAAGGGAAGGGTAAGCACGGGTTCCGTGGAATCAGCTAACGGCACGGCCCCGGGGCTGAACCCCCACAGTCTCTTCGGAGCTGAGCAGGGGTGTGGCAGCAATTTGGGCGGTGCTATGTGTCATGCTGCTTGCAGGGAATGAGGAATCCCAGAGCTGGATCCCTTTCCTCAGCCTGACAGGCTTGGCCCCTGCTCGCAGCCAGCGGGGAAGTTTTCCAGAAGCTTTCCGAGTGTGCTGAGAGTCACTTGACCTGCTGAAGACTTTGGTGCTGGGAACAGCCCCCAGAGCTGACTCGTAGTCAGACCCCACTGGTGCCAGTGATGTCTGCCTCTGTCTCCAGCATTACCTGCCAGGTGCAGCCATCATGGGAACGGAGCTGGGGTGAAATTGCTTTCTAAATCCAGACTGTTAACAGGAGTTCAGTGAGATGGGACTCATATGTAGTCCCTGCAAAGGAAACTGTCCCTGGGAGACTCAGAATCCTCTTGATCTGCTATTGATTCTGGTACAGTCTTGTCAGTGATTTCAGTGACTGGAGCAGGACAGCCAGACACAGTCCAGAGGTGGATTTCTATTTTATTGTTATTATTATTATTATTAATGCTGCAACTGCTGGGTGCTGCAGCATGAACCTGCCTGTACAATAGTAGCTGAACATTCATTCTTCTCCTTCCCTGTGTTCCTGTGGCTGCCACGCATGACTAAGGAGCAAAAACAATCTAGTGGAGTGACTCATCCCTCCCAAGAAGGTGGGATGAGAGCAACAGGAGACAGCAAGCATGGAAACGACATCCCACAGGGAGCTGAGCTGAGCTTCACCAAAGCTCCAGAGCCTGTGTGTGGCCGAGGCTTTGGTCATCATGGCTTGTGAGGTTTGTCTTGTGTGTCTTGGATGGAGGGTGGAAGGGGAAAGGAGGAAAGAGTAGAGGATGGCTCGGGAGGATTCACCATATCATGGAATGAGGTGCTGCTGTGGTCCGTAACCACGGTGTTGCCCAGTTGCTTCTATCTAAGCGGTCGTGGTGCCCCATACCACCTCCTGGGGTGTTGGGCATCCTCGTGAGTCCCCTGACAGTCCCTGCAGGGCTGTGGGACAGGCCTTCGAGTCTTCTTTCCCTTTCTCTTGCAGATCAATGAGCTTAGCAATGTTCCTGTCCCTGTCATGCTAATGCCTGATGACTTTAAAGCCTACAGTAAGATTAAGGTGGACAATCATCTATTCAACAAGTAAGTAGGTGCTTCCCAACCTCTCTGGAGGCAGAGCTTTATGCTGGGAGGCAAGCTGGCCTGGGGGTAGGCCTTCTGGATTGTTCCCAGCTGAAGTCCAGGAGAATCCAGCCTGGCTGCACACAAGTCCCTGCCTTGTGCCCTGCCCAGACCCTTGGACAGGATGTGGTGGGGTCAGTCTGTCACTGAGTTGCTCTTTGGTGGCTTGGTTTCTGTCCTTTGAGGGATAAGACAGTTTACAGGAGGCAGGTCTACCCCTGGCCCAAGGGGTCTYTCTAGAGTTATCCCTGTCTCCTCTTCCTGAGAAATCCATTTTTGGAAGCCCTTTTGAAGTCGTGGTTTTGGCTGGTGCTCAGAGCTGTGCTCTACACCCTGGCTCTGTGTGCACAGGGGTGCAGCGCTCCCTGATGAATCCTTTGTTTTCACCCAGTTTTCCAGGGATCAGCTTTGGATATTGGGAGTGTGATTGGAAAGTTTGTCTTCCCTGGCACATACAAGGTGCGGGATCTGCTCTTCCCCTTCTCCTTCAGAGATCTGAGCTCCCCTTGTGTTGCTGCGAAGTCTTCTCATTGAGARCGAGCTGCCAAATTCTCCCTCTGCATCCAAGCAGGAGCAAACTCTGCTCCTCCCCACTGGACAGGATCAGGGCTTTGGTAGGAGCAGATGCAGTGAAAGGGAGTTGTCACCGTGTCCCCCTGTCCTGTGCCCCCCCTGGCAGCAGAGCCAGGCTGGAGCTGATTTCCCCCCTCTCTGGGTGCTCTGGCTGAGATGGTTYGTAGTGTGTTGACCTTTCTTCTGCTGAGTGATCTGATGTGATCCAAGCCCAGAGCCCACCCCCTCCGCCCTGGCAGCTTCTGTGCATGTGGGGACAGCTGTGACTGCGCCAAACAAAGCAGCGCAGGAGGGGCGGGGGGAGAAGTGATTCCCTCAGATCTGGCCTTGTGACAGAGCAGATTGTTCTGGCAGACAGGCARTCTCTGAAGCAATCATCCTGGCAGCCTGTCAGCGCGGATCCTGCAGGATTTCTGTGGAGAGATCCTTTTGTGGGCATCCCAACAAACAAGTGAGCTGCCCTAACCAGGGGAGAGCAAGGTCAGGAGGAGCTGGGATGTCCGGGAGCCTGGCAGGGAGGTGGGAGTCAATGTGGAATTGCATTTCGCAGGCTGATCATTGCACACAATTCTCTTTTCTGCCCTGCCCTAGGGAAAACCTGCCAAGTCGCTTTAAATTCAAGGAGTATTGTCCACTGGTGTTCCGGAACCTCCGGGAAAGATTTGGGATCGATGATCAAGACTACCAGGTATCCTCTCTTCTCTTCCTTACCCTCCTGATACCTTTCCTAGGACAGAGCAGCCACCCTGACAGAAAATGCAGCRGAGAAGAAGACAGGGTAGAGAAACCATGGTACAAACATTGCTACCAGCAGCTTTTTGAGTTTGTAATTGTGTTTTGAGYGGTTTCATCTTAACCACAGCAGTGGAGTGGATCTTGCTGTGCCAAGCACTGGCCATAGGAGAAGGTGATCCCTGCTCCCAAGGCACAAAACAGGGGGCACAAATGGCTGTGGACAGGCAGAARATGTGGACAGGAGGATAATAATGATCCGGTGTGGAATATCTGCAAGGAAAACGAATCTGTCATGTTTTTTACAGATTCAGGTGAATCTGCTGCTTTCAACCTAGTGTATGTTGTTGAATTGGGTGTATCAGGGGCCTCCTGCTTTGGGATACGTCCCCTAATGCCAGAGGGTCTGACTTTCCTCGGAGAGGAGAGCCTGTTGTTAACGCTGCTGGGCTCAACTCCAGTGAGAGGGAGATGCCATAGCTTGGCTGCTGCAGCAGGACCACCGTTCTTGAACCCAGCCCTGTGCACGAGGAGATGAGGAGAGGCAGCTGATGGGAGATCACACAAGCCAGGGGCAGGCAGAGCAGAGCTGGGGAGGCCATGGTGGCCGTGTGGCCGTTGGCAGGCCAGGTGTCATGGAACTGCACCCACTGTCCCAGTCCACGCTCAGTGACAGAGCGGGCASGATGGCAGGGACATCCCCTGGAGCACTCCCTGGAAAGGCACATAGGGGAGTGCAACAGGCTCTCTACTCGCTCCACATGCTCCGTGTATGCTGGGGAGAGGAGCCAGGAGAGGGCTGGTCCTACTGATCCCAAACCGCTGCCCTCTGTGCCTGTGTCACACCCCTTTGTGATCACACCCTCCCCAACTCTGACTCACACTCTCAGTATCCAATTTGTCATTTACACTTCCCCTGTCATTCTGACGGGTTGCTTCTCCCATCTCGGGACTGGTTTGACTTTTTTTGAAGTGTCCATCTGGAACAGAGAACATTAATAATTGAACTTAATTCAGGTGGGTAAAATGTGATGGCTCAAGTGGGAAYGGAGCCAGAATGTCAAATTTAACACCTGAACTGTGGGAGAGGTGTGAGTGACAGGAAGGGAACGGAGGAAAACGAAGGGCTGTGAATTCAGAAATGCTCYATGTGGTCATGATTTCTGCTTCCCAGCTCCAGAAGAAAAGCTCTGTGGTTTTGAGGTGAGGGCTGATTAAACTGCCTGGCACAGACGCCTCTGCAAATGTCAGCAAGAAGCAAAGGAGATTTTTCTATTTGCCTTTATTTTCCTGACGCTTTCTAAAGCTGTTGGCAGCAGCCAAGTTTTCCCCCTGCCTCATTAAAGTTTCAAAAGCTTTAAATGCTCTGTTCTGAGAGGAAACCTCTTGGCTCACTTGCGGCATGACATGGTAAATCTCTGTCTCTGAGCAGGCTCCCTCTGCTGCCAGAGCTGAGGGAAAGGGACAGAGCAATGCTGCTGTCACCTTAAAAAAAAMCCCAAAAAAATAGCCTGAAACACAGTAGCCAGCCCACTTTTGCTGGAAAACACAGCTCCTTTGCTGAGGGTCACTATGCAAGTGTTGCTACTGCTGTGTATCAGAGCCCTCCCCTTCCATGATAAGGAAATGCTGGTTCGAGGTTGCTGTGATGATGAAATGAAATCTGGACAGAGGCTGGTGACTGGGCAGGAGGTGGGAGGTGGAGTGGACACCCAGGTGACAGGTGACCTGCTTGGCCTGAAGTGTGAGGAGGGGCAGCTATCACCRAGGGAGTAGCTCGCAGCAGGTGCCACTACCTGGAGAGAGGCAGCAGAACAAAGAGCTCCTCTTGTGGCTCAGGGGATTGATCCCTGCTCTGCAGTTTTCCTGGGATTTTCCAGCCCCACCACCAGGCTGAGGGGAAGCTGCGCTGTCTGTTGCTAAGGGTGGAGACAGGGATCTAAAGGCAAATGCTGCTGGTTGTCAGAAGAACCAAGCTATTTATACTCATCTTGTACATCCAGGGGTAAGAACAGTGGAGCTTGAGCGGGGCTTCTGGTGCAGCATGTCCTGTGAAGAATCCCCAGGCCAGACTAAGCTGCTTTTTGATGGAGAAGCCACCAGGCCATTTCAGTTGTTTCATTCTGGTTTTCCTTAAACCTTAGAAATATCCTGACTGTTCTTAAATCCCTGGGAGGAAATGCTGAGAACTTGTGGCTTGTGCATCCTACTTCCTTAAAAACCCTTYCGTAAAAAACGCCTTCCAAAACCTTTGCTCCAGATGTTGGAGCAAAACCCGCTAGCAAATCCCGGACCCAGGCAGAAGCTTTAAAAACCACACCCAGATTTTCCAACACTTGGGTTTTACCCTCAGCACTGCCAAACCCAGGGTTCCCACTTGGAATGGGTGCTCTGAGTCGGTCCTGCGGAGCTGGCCCTACTTCCCAAGGGAAGGGGTGGCTCCTGGCAGCCCTCCCACACTGTGTCTGTCCCCCAGAACTCGGTGACGCGCAGCGCCCCGGTGAACAGCGACAGCCAGGGCCGCTGTGGTGCCCGCTTCCTCACCACCTATGACAGGAGGTTTGTCATCAAGGCTGTGTCCAGCGAGGACGTCGCAGAGATGCACAACATCCTCAAGAAGTATCACCAGGTACGGTGAGTCTGGAACCCCCCCATGCACTTCTTGGGATCTGATGAGGCTCTGGAGCTTGGATTCACAGCTGGCAGAGCTTGCCCAGAGGTTTTCACAGACAGAATCACACAGAATGAACAAGGCTGGAAGAGACCTTCAARATCATCAAGTCCAATTATGACCAAACACCTCCTCATCAACTAAACCCTTTTTTGGGGTTTTGCGGGAAAAAGCCAAGGTTGTGGGACAAATGTAACCCAGCACCTGTTTGTGGTGCTGAGGCCCTTCCCAGCTCACCCTGATCCTTACATCAATCAATTATGGATCCCTGGTACCTGAGACCTGCAAACAGCCTCCTAATCAGAATTTCCAGGGGGACTGGAGAGGAGCAGGGAGGGGAGGCAAAGTGGGACAGCTGGAAATGTCCTGGTCCGTGTGATGTGCCAGCCCATTGGCTCTGCACTTCTGGGCACACGGAGGTGGAGCTGGGCAGTGCCAGTGCACACCTGGCCTGGCACACACAGAGTCATAGAATCCCACGGTGGTTTGGATTGGGAGGCACCTTGGAGATCACCCATTCCCACCCTGCTGCCACGGGCAGGATGGCACTCCCTGGCCAGCCTGCTCAGGGAATGGAATGGTCTGTCCCAGCTCAGGGCTGGCAGATCCCCGCCAAACTTTAACTTCTTTCTTTGAGATCCCAGGAGTTGTTCCAAGCCTCTTTTCCTTTCCTGTTGGTGTTAGGCAGCTTTGCTCCATCATCTCACCAAGCTTGTGTCCCATCAGAGGTGGGCTCTGTGTGACACATCTGTTTTTCCCTGCCCTCCCCTTCCCCGCTGTCCCACAGTTCATCGTGGAGTGCCACGGCAATACCCTTCTGCCCCAGTTCCTGGGTATGTACCGGCTCACCGTGGACGGCGTGGAGACCTACATGGTGGTCACCAGGAACGTGTTCAGCCACAGGCTGACCGTGCACAGGAAATACGACCTGAAGGTGAGGGCTGGGCAAGGCTGGAATAGTTGGTCCTGGTAACTCCCACTTCGTGTACTTTGGGTTTTGCTCAGGGGATCAGGATTTGGGGGGCTGTGGATGGAGCCTGAGGTTCAAATGTTGATCCATTTGCCCATCCCAAGGAGGTCACTAAAAGGGGGTTGAGCACTGATTTTGAAAGTATTTTTGTTGTTTTCTTGCATGGAGAAATGCAGTGGTGTCAATGAACTCATCGGGAATATGACTCACAGTGCAGTAAATGATATTTTATTCTTTTTTTTTTGTATTTTATCAGGGCTCAACAGTATCCAGGGAAGCAAGTGACAAAGAGAAGGTATGGAGCCATCCCTGGCCAGCCTTTCCTTTCTCCTGATGGCTGGAAGCAGATGGGATCCAACTGACTTCCCTTTTCCAAAGGGGTATTTGAGTAGGGAATATATCCACAGCCCCTGAATTTAATCTGTTCCTGTGCCCCCTCTCAGGCTGTGCTCTGGCGGAGGAGGAGCTGGTTCTGCCAGGAGTGGGGGGCACCTCTGGGGGGACAGTCCCAGCAGAGCCAAACCCCACAGTGGGGCATTGGCATCTCCGTGGAAGGGTTTCTTTACAGCAATCCCTGAGTCCCAACCCAGTGCAGGTTGGAGGTAGATTTCCCAGCAGATGCTTTTCTAAACCAGACTAGCTCCTCTCAGATCTTTGGCATGTTCCTAAACCTCACTTCTGGTGSCGGTGGGGGGAGTTCAGGACTAAACATACTGCCTGAGCAAAACTTCTGGGATGCTGCCTTGAAATTCCTGTGGAAATCACATCAGTGGCCTGTGCTGTTATGTTTTGCCATATGAGCATGGGATTTTCAGGTTTGCAGGTCTACTCCAGCCTGCCCTAAAAGGAGGTCTCAGCCAGGAGCCAGGGAGCTCCCATTGGCACTCAATCCTCTGGCATCACCAGGCCCGAGTGTCCACAGCTTTCTGGCCTGTGCAGTTTGGCTGTTCATGAGGTCACAAAGCCACCAACACTCCTGTTATTCTAAATAATTGAATTCCCAATTATTGTGAATTATTAGCACTTGTACCAAGGGGTTGTTAAGTTCTTCCTCATCCCCAGAAATCCTCAGGGATTGCTAATACAAGCAGATTCCTCAGAAAATAGTAGGTTTAACTTTTTCCTCAGTTCTTTAGGGAGAGAAGCTTGTTTTTATTTCCCCAAGCCTTGATCCCTTTCCCCCTGCAGTCAGAAGACAAGAAAATGAGTTTCTTCTCAATTCTGGAAGCTGCTTGGAGCATGCCTGGCTGGGGCCCAGCTATCAGCCTTTAAAGCTGGTTTGTTCCACATCTCCCTCAAGCTTTCCTGTWGGTCCAGCTAAGCCCACGGATTCCCTGACAATTCCTGATGTCATTTCCATCCTCAGTGGACTTTGGGCAGCCAAAAGGGCCCACACTGACCAGAGCCTGTTCCATAAACTCCCAGTTGCTGCTGGCTTCTTGTGCCAGCCCTCCCCTGGGAGTGAGCTGGGGAATTTGACCGCAGGCTTTTTGTTGCAGGCCAAGGATCTCCCAACGTTCAAGGACAACGACTTCTTGAATGAGGGTCAGAAGCTGCATGTTGGAGAAGAGAGTAAAAAGAACTTCCTTGAAAAGCTGAAGCGGGATGTGGAGGTAGTTTCCTTGGGGGACAGCTATGCTCTGTCTCCTGTCACTGGATCCTCGCTGCTGGCTCCAGGGGGGCAGTAGTGACTGGAAAACTTGCTGGAGCTCAGTCAGGGCTGTGCTGAGGGCAGTGGGCCTGTACAGATTCTCTRCAGTCACAGGAGGGTTTAGCTCTCACTCCAGCTGTTGCTTAGGGAGGCACCCACAGGATAGGGCTGAGCGTTCCCAATCCCATGCAGGCCCCACCCGTCTCACTGCTCCCTCTCTCCCAGTTTTTAGCCCAGCTGAAGATCATGGATTACAGCCTCCTGGTGGGCATCCACGACGTGGACCGGGCTGAGCAGGAGGAGATGGAAGTGGAGGACCGGGCAGAGGACGAAGAGTGTGAGAACGATGGCCTGATGGGGAACCCCATCTCCTCCTACGGGACCCCCCCTGACAGCCCTGGCAACCTCCTCAACTACCCCCGCTTCTTCGGGCCTGGCGAATTCGACCCCTCCGTGGATGTGTACGCCATGAAGAGCCATGACAGTGAGTGGGGAGAGCTGTGGAGAGCTGTGGAGGGTAGCAGGGGTGTAGGAAAGCTGTGGAGGAGGGATGGAGGGCAGGGAAGGTGTCCCAAGCTCAGTGGAGGGGGAGGGCTGTCCCTGCCCAGCCCCTCTGCTTTGGGCAGTTGCTGGTGGTGGCTGGAGCAGGGACAAAGGATGCTTGCAGAGAGGTGGCACATTCAGGGAGCCCCTGGTAGGCTGGTCCGGTCACCTCCTCTGCCCTTTTGCAGCCTTCATCTGCCTTTGCTTTGGCTTTGAGTTGCTCCAAGCTGGCCCTRCCTGGTGTTTCTGGAGCAGGGGTGCAGCTGGGGGTATTCAGGGGCTACAGCAGAGGGTGCCCCAGGGGTGTTCCTGGGCAGGGGGTGCAGCTGGAGGTGCCCAGGGGTCTGAGCCCCTCTCTTGCCTCGCTGGCTGTGCCCAGGGAGTCTGAGCCACTCTCTTGCCCCACAGGTGCCCCCAGGAAGGAAGTTTATTTCATGGCCATCATAGACATCCTCACGCCCTACGACACCAAGAAGAAAGCTGCACACGCTGCCAAAACAGTGAAACACGGGGTGAGCCTGGCCCAGGGATGGGGGGAGCTCTGGAGCTTCTGCTCTGCAGCATCTCTGGGGATGTGTGGGGTGTCTCCTGACACTGATTTCCCTGCCAGAGTAGGAATTCTCTGGTGCCTGTGCTCAGCACTTCCCTCGGTGTCTCCTCAGGGTGGCCCAGAGAGGTTTTCCCTGCAGCTGTTTGGGGATAATTTGTATTTACATCCAATTTGGGAGGTACTCACAGAGCAGCAATGGACCAGCTGCAGGGTGACACAGGGTGACACACAGCGCTTCCCTACCGCTACTGCTGTATCCTGTCAGYCAGCCTGAGCTTCCCAGAAGGGCTTGGGAAAAGCCAAGTTTAGCAGGACGTGRAATTATGGAATTAAGGTTGGAAAAGTCCTTTAAGATCAAGTCCAGCCATCCACCCAGCACCACTGTGTGGAGTTTATAGGGAATCATGGAATGCTGAGGTGGAAGGGACCCATTAGGGTCATAGAGTTCAGCTCCTGGTCCTGCACAGGACTATCCAAACAGTCCCACTGTGTGCATCCCTGGRAGCATTGTCCACACATTCCTTGAACTCTGGCAGCCTTGGGTCCATGCCCATTCCCTCGGGAGCCTTTTCCAGGCGTCCGACACCGTCTGAGGGAAAAAACTTCTCATGCTATCCAGCCTAGCCCTCCCCTGACTCAGCCCCATGCCATTAGRAATTCTTTACACTCCTAAATCCCTAAGCCACAACAAACAAACCCAATGCCTTTACTCTGGACATACACCTGGCGCTAAAACCATTTTCCCTGTGTGTCTCTCCAAACCGGTTGGATTTTTCCTAACTGTGGATGTGCCCCAGCAGCGAGGCTGTAGTGCTCTGACCCCTCCCTGCCCACCCTGACCACCGCACGTCTCTCCTGCAGGCTGGTGCCGAGATCTCCACCGTGAACCCTGAGCAGTACTCGAAGCGCTTCAATGAATTCATCTCCAACATCCTGACATAGTCGTGCTCGGCCCGCAGCCGGGAGCCGCGAGCAGAGGGGCTCCTGCGGCCCGTGGCCCCCAACAGACACTGTGGGCTGTGTGTGGAGTGTGTGTGACGTGCCAGGGTAGCGCCATGTGGAGACCTCATCCTCGGGGTGCCCTCAGACAGCCTGCTTGTCCCACTTGGGAAAAGTGGGGTTCAATGTTACAGAAGTGCCCAGACGTAAGATTTGAGGGCTTTTTCAAACAAGCCAAGTGCATTGTTTTCAGCACTGCTCTTTCTAGTGACATTTTCTCCTCTCCGATGCAGAGAATCCCRGAGGGATCATGTGTGACATGTGGCACTGTGTCCAAGGGGTGGCTCCAGAGCACGGTCAGTGGCAGTGAAGCAGTGCCTGATTCCACAAACCACTCCTTTTTTTTGTTGTTTTCTTTYGTTGTTGTTGTTGTCGTTGTTGTTTTATTGGACCGTCTTTTTCCCAGAAAGACACCCCTTTTATTTCCCTCTCGGTAGGAGTTGGAAGGAAAATAACTCACCATTTCAAGGATGGAAAATATAACTCTGATAAGGAGTAGTWGCTGAACTTTAGGTAAATTCAGACTGGGACACTTTATATTTTTTTGGTTAATTTAAGGAATGAAAAAAAAAGAACAAACTTTTTTTGTAACTGCACTTGATTTAGGAGAAAGACGAGGGAAGTGAACATCTACCAAAGATGAGCTCTRAAAAAAACTGAAAAAAGGTGTAACTCCCAGAACCTAAAAAAACAACCAATGTGAGAAGTGAGAGGCATTGACCAACCTCAGCTCATAATGTGCTCAGACCCGTTGTTGTGCTTTTCAATTGGCCAGCTCTAAAGATTACCTAAAGAGCAAAAAGAAACATTTTAAAAAAGAGCATTGTATACTCTCCGGGCTAAGATTTTGGGATGTTTCCCTGTGGCGCCTTAGTCAAGAATGGCTGCATCTCTTAGGTCACCATCGCAGTTCTGCCAGTGTTAATTAGCTAATAGATAGTTCAGTCTTCCTTCCCCACCCCATCTGCAACAGGTACTTGAATCGGTGTCCTGACAGAGGTTCCTGGGTTGCTTGGGTTGTGGTTTTTTTTTATTTTTATTTTTAAAAATGTGACTTGCACACGAAGGAATTGGACTCGCTGCCAGTGGGGAGTGCTGGGAGCTGGGACTGGAGCAGCCCCACRGCTCCAGAGAGGATTCAGGACCCAAGCTGGGGCTGCTCTCATCGTCCCCTGCTCCAAACCTCTCTCTGGAGCCACAGCCACCGAGTGGAAATGTTCGAACTCCGGCGCCAGTTTCTTTTCCAGCCCCTCTCTGAAGGATTTGGGACTGATTGGAGTGACTGCAAACGTCTTGTTTTCTCTCCAGAATGGTTGTGACCCTTTCACAGCCAAGCTTGGCAGACTCGCTTTGAGTTTYGTTCATTCTGCTGCACAGAGTTACAGACCTTTCGGTCCTTTGGAGGTTTTTTTTGGAGGGAGGGCTTTTTTTTTTTTTTTAATTTCCACTCTCTTTTAAAGCAGGATTTAGCATTTTGAACAAACTTCTTGCAGTTGAAACATGTTGCTTAATCTGCCTTGAAACTGTTTTTTCACATATGCCTTTGTTTGGGGAATAAGCTTTGTTTGGAATGTCTGTCCTGTGCTGTAACAGTTTTGCCCTGTGGAATTTTGGTCCTTTGGAGAGATAACTGGTGCTCTTCACATCCTGGTAATTTTCTCTGGACTGGTAATTTTCCCTGGACTTAACTCTGGCTCTGG